TTTAATCTTCATATATTTTTATTCAATAATATAAAATTTATCATAATTTTTTTTTGCCTAAAAGTATCAATTTTTTTGCACGACCCTCTATATCTGACAATTCAATAAACAATCTCTAATGTTAAATAATCTCATTAATTCACGTATTCTCAATATTTATTTTAATTTTAAATTACATAATTAAAAAAATTAAATTATTTTTTAAAATATAAATATTACAAGATCAATTTAATTTTTAGTTTTATATAATATAATGCCTTCAAATACGAAACTATTACTAGAAAATCCATTAGGTCCAATGGTGGGCCTTTGCAAAGAAATGGTTCTTGATTGAAAACTCACCACCAAATGTTAATCAAATTTTTTACTTTTTACTTTTTTTTTTTCAACTTGTTATCTTTTTTTTGAATAGTAGTATTAGGGAGATGATAAAGGTCAAACTCAGAAACAATTACAGACAATGATCATTAGATTAACAGTTAAAAAAAAAAAAGACCTCGAAGCAACGGTCCTGATTTNTAAAATTCAAACTCAGAAACAATTACAGACAATGATCATTAGACTAACAGTTAAAAAAAAAAAAAGACCTCGAGGCAATGGTCCTGATTTTTCTTGAGCTACATTCTTGAGAAATGTTGAAAATGACCCAAAATTNTAAAGGTCAAACTCAGAAACAATTACAGACAATGATCATTAGATTAACAGTTAAAAAAAAAAAAGACCTCGAAGCAACGGTCCTGATTTTTCTTGAGCTACATTCTTGAGAAATGTTGAAAATGACCCAAAATTAAAGAACGGTTTTTGAAAAATCATTACCCACATGCTGTTGGACAATCAAATTAATCTCCTTTTCTTTTTTTTTTTTATGAAAAAAAGAGTAGAGATAAAAAAAAACATTCAAAAATTACCTCAATAAGAGAATCATGATGTCCTGATCGAATTCATTAATCCAAACCTTATTAAGTTAACATAATAATTAATCACCAAATTTTAACGCGAACTCCAAAAGTCAAATCTACAAATCCAGAATGAAAAATTCAGCCAGTAACCCCCACTCAGCCGTAAATTAATCTCACTTTAATTAGTCTAATCATTCCCCAAAAGATAAACAGGTTCAATGCAATGTATAACCGATCACCTCTAAAGTTTAGCGTCATAAAAGTAGTAACGGTCACCGGAGAGAGTATTCTGAAATAATAAACATTGGGCCACGTTCGAAAAAGCAAACACACACCCAAAGAGAGATTCCTTGCGGTAACATCATACTCCGGCCGTCGATGTNAGTAACGGTCACCGGAGAGAGTATTCTGAAATAATAAACATTGGGCCACGTTCGAAAAAGCAAACACACACCCAAAGAGAGATTCCTTGCGGTAACATCATACTCCGGCCGTCGATGTTTAATAAATACTTAAATACTTAAATATTTCAATCAAAAATTAAATATTAAATATTTTAAATTTTATAATAAAAATTNGTCGATGTTTAATAAATACTTAAATCTTTAAATTTAAAATATTTCAATCAAAAATTAAATATTAAATATTTTAAATTTTATAATAAAAATTCATACTCTATAATGACATTTATTAAAATAAAATTAAAATTAAAAATTTAATTTTTTTTTAAAAAAATTATAATTAATATTCAATTATACTATTTATTGAAATGAAATTTAGGTGATGGTTCAACCTCCAAGAAAAAAATTACCTTATCCATAAATAAAAGCAACCATAAAATAATACCACACTCAACAGTAACAATTAAAAACTAAAAATAAATAATAATCAAGTGAACACAAAACAAATACAAAAAAACAACCATTCTCCTCCTCAGTATCACACCAATCACACTCGAAAAAAAAATTAAAAATGTAAATAAATCAAAGAGACAAGCTTCCTAAAAGAGTCAAAAAGAACAGAAAAAATAAAATAAATATACATCAACAGAACTGACGAAATGACAATTCAGACCAAGAAAGATGAGATAATAACCGAGGCAGCCACTGTTGTTGTCAGCAGGGCTTTCAAAAATGCCAAAGCTTTCACATCTCCGGCGGCATTGTCTGTCGTGCTGTTCTGTGACTCGCCGGCCGGTGCCTCTGCCGGAGATTCCAATGGAGGGGCTGGTGGCGAAAGAAAAGGTGAAGGCGCCTTTGCTTCTGGAGCCGGAGCTGGTGACGTCGAAGCCGGTGCCGGTGCCGGTGCCGGAGATGGTGACGTCTCGGGCGTCGGCGACGGCGCTGGAGAAGGAGATTTCCCGAACAACTCAGCCGGAAGAAGAATACTATCGATGGTGAAAATGCAGAGAGGTGTCGAGTCAAGCACAGTTGTAGCGATTCGAGACGAATCAACTCCGGTGTCGAGAGTGACCGAGTCTCCGGCAGTCGTCACCGACAAATCGTACTTTCCGGCTCCGTTCGTTGCCAATGTAGAAATCGTATCTTTCGTAGCCTTCAAAGTCCCGATCGGCGAGTACCTCGTCAGGGCGTGATACTGTAGGAGCGAGACCAGCTCGGCATTGGTGAGCTTGCTCAGATCTGGCAATCCTTTCGCTTTAAAGGCCTCATCCGACGGTGCAAAAAGTGTTAAACCTTTATCAATAGCCGTCTGATAAACTTTGATCACTCCAGTAGATACAATCAACGAAGCAAACGTTTTACACCCAGCCTTCTCCAAAAGACCCGTTAAGTTCACATCGGAGGCTGATGGAGCCGGAGCCGTCAAAATCTGCTGCGAAACGATCGGCGCGCTGATTTCAAGAACCGAAATGTTATAAGGAATTTGTTTAACTGATTTGGTGTACGACGAGTCGAGAGCCGAGCCGGGAGCTGCGGAGCCGAATCCGACTTTACCGCCTTTGAGGTCTGTAATGTTGACGAACCCTAGCTTTCCGTCGGCGTTTCCGGTGGTCTGGTACAAAGTAGTTGATAGAGTTGTACCATCGGAGAGCTCGTGGAGCTTTTTGGCATCGTAGTAGTCGAGTAATACATGGAGGGCCAATTCGTTCTTGACGACGGGAAGGGGGTGTTTGGCTGCAAGTGCGGACATGGCTGCATTGCTGAAAACCAGGACTGTGATCGGCGGTTGGCGGCTGTTGATGTCGTCGGCGAGCTTTGTTCGGGTGAGGTAGCTGTTGAACTCACTGTACTCTGGGAATGCTGAGANGGCTGCATTGCTGAAAACCAGGACTGTGATCGGCGGTTGGCGGCTGTTGATGTCGTCGGCGAGCTTTGTTCGGGTGAGGTAGCTGTTGAACTCACTGTACTCTGGGAATGCTGAGAGAATAGCCGTGATATTCTCAGCATTGGCAGTGGATATGGTGATGAGAGAGTATGTGAAGAGGAAGAGAGAGAATGTGAATAGAGCAGCCATGGTGATTGTGAGTAGAAAGAAGAGAACTGAAGCTTGCAGNGTAGCTGTTGAACTCACTGTACTCTGGGAATGCTGAGAGAATAGCCGTGATATTCTCAGCATTGGCAGTGGATATGGTGATGAGAGAGTATGTAAAGAGGAAGAGAGAGAATGTGAATAGAGCAGCCATGGTGATTGTGAGTAGAAAGAAGAGAACTGAAGCTTGCACCAGAGGGAAATGTCGAGACAGTGGAGTGGGGTATTAATTGTGAGTGGAGAAAATTAACTAGGGTTAATGAGTAACCAAGGTTGATGGGTAGGGTTAACTAACTATGGTTAGATTGGTCTGGGATTTTGATCTCAATTCTTTTTGGGTTCACAGCTGGAAATTAAAGCTGTAGCTGTTGGTATGATCTATGATGCTCTCCTTTTGGTTTAATGACACAAATGGCCCTGTCTTTTCTTTTTTTTTTTTTTAATTTTTTTTTTTGTTTTCGTAATAACAGGAATCAATATATAAAATTCATCATGTATATGTAATATATAATTGATAAATGTGATATATTTGCTTACGTTAAAAAAAATCATAACTAATTTTTTTCTATTTTTGGGACCGGACCAAATATAATATTTTATTCATATCTTGTATNTCATAACTAATTTTTTTCTATTTTTGGGACCGGACCAAATATAATATTTTATTCATACCTTGCATTTTTATCATCTTATTTTTGTATTATTTATTTTTCCTTGGTAGTGGTACCTAATGGAGAAACAGACAATCCCCTGGTACTGCATAGCCCACGTGCCAATGGTCAGCAACTATGGGGTCCACGTCTGCAGCTGGCTAGTTCAGGCCCACATAGACAAAACCAAAAATGACCTATAACCCATTTACCGTTGATCTTTTTTCTTTGTTTCGACCCTTAAACCTTGANTTTATTTTTCCTTGGTAGTGGTACCTAATGGAGAAACAGACAATCCCCTGGTACTGCATAGCCCACGTGCCAATGGTCAGCAACTATGGGGTCCACGTCTGCGGCTGGCTAGTTCAGGCTGACATAGACAAAACCAAAAATGACCTATAACCCATTTACCGTTATCTTTTTTCTTTATTTCGACCCTTAAACCTTGTTGACTAAGCATCAAATTATCCGTTACTTGGATGGAGGTCGTAATAAAACGATCAAGAATTTCTGCTGAAATATGTTTGAATTTGTATGGGACTGAAGAAAAGACAAAAATTCTGACATTACTTCACTAACCTCCCTCTCTACTGTGTTTCCATGTTGTGCTCTCTCGCTCGCTCATTTTTATATATTAATTTTATACCATTCATTACTTTTATATATTAATTTTATATCATTCATTACGACATGAACCAAATATAACAACATTCGTTAGACACAAAATAATATATGAATCAAGTATTAATAAAATATTTTTTAATAAAAATTCAACACGAACTCACTTCATTCAAACCAAGTTGGCTCTCTCTCAGTCTCTGTCTCACACGCCATTAGCTTTAGCATGTTGAAGTTTATGAGAATTTTTCAGAATCTGATTCGACCACAACCATCAAACACCGCCAATACAAATACCGATCTCTCTATTANTTACTTCACTAACCTCCCTCTCTACTGTGTTTCCATGTTGTGCTCTCTCGCTCGCTCGCTCATTTTTATATATTAATTTTATACCATTCATTACTTTTATATATTAATTTTATATTATTCATTACGACATAAACCTAATATAACAAAATTCGTTAAATACAAAATAATATATGAATCAAGTATTAATAAAATATTTTTTAATAAAAATTCAACACGAACCCACTTCATTCAAACCAAGTTGGCTCTCTCTCAGTCTCTCTCTCACACGCCATTAGCTTTAGCATGTGGAAGTTTATGAGAATTTTTCAGAATCTGATTCGACCACAACCATCAAACATCGCCAATACAAATACCGATCTCTCTATTTTTTTCGTCCCTGCAAATCTTCTACTCACGATACCTTCTTCCAATACCATTAAGAACAATGTCCCTCCCTCGGCTGAAACTGCCATCATCTCTAGCATGTTGGCTCTATCACCATAAAAGTTGTGTATAACCGCTACTTGTTATAATCCATAGGCATACCTATAAAAATAAATTGTAGCGTCGCTGTGTACAAATACAACGGGGTATCGTGCAGTTCAAGAGACTTGGGGATTTGGGGGTTAAGGATCATGGTGGCTGATGAAGAGGAATACTGTGATACTGTAAAGATGATTAGAGGTTATAAGTCACAAGATGAGCTGAAGATTACCTGTGTCTTACCAGAAAATACATCAGATGTATACTTCAACTTCGCTAATTCTTCGATCATCAAGAGATGGACGGAAATTATAAGTGCTATCTTCAGCAGGTACCTGCAGGATCAGCATTCTTGATTATCCAAGGGTGCTCCATGATCTTCTGAAGGGAGAGCCTTTTTGAAGAGTTCTTAATTAGAAGCTTCACAACTGTAAGGTGATATTTATATGAAGGCAATTATATCCATTCACTGTGATCATTCCTTCTAACTGACATATATGACAATTGTGGGCATACTCATCAACAAACTTACCTAACTAATGAGATCTTTAGCTTATGCAGAAACATGAGGTGCGGAAGGCAAGCTAAGGTCAACCTTCATAATCCTATGTGCAATTCAAATTCTATTCATCCTAACACCAAGTGAAGAAAAAATTACCCATCCCTCACTTTCTGAATGTATCTGCTTGGCTCTCAGCCTCAAATGGAGGGGCACTATACAAAAATTCATAACAGAGGACACCCAATGTCCAAATATCAACTGCATAATTGTGAGCCTTGTTCTCCACCATTTCTGGTGCTAGATAGTCCAAAGTTCCACACACACTGTATCTCTTGCTTCTTGATTATACAGACCATCCAAAGTCAGCCATCTTCAGCTGACCTTACAATTGTAGACTGCAATGATGTTACGAAGTACAGGCATTGAATTTTATGGCATGTTCTCATTTTTAGATTCATTGGTAGTCTGCTAGTGCGAACTACAAGTCTGGAATGTCAAACTTTCATCTATTCCAACCAAAATGCTGAAAAGTTGCTCATGATACATAAAGGATAAAGAAATTTCGAATGTATGATCTTGTTAGGCAGATTGCTGAAAGAAGCATGATTTTTCACTAATGAAGTGTGGTTTAGTTCATGAAAAAGAAGGAAGCTAGTTCCATATCGTTTTAACCGATGTAACAATTTCTGTTTTTGGGTTCTAAATAAGCCCCAACCAAATAAGTCACTAAAAATTCAACTGATCAGGACTCATACGCAAATTACATTAGTGTTAGAAGGCTTGGGACCATTTTTATTCACCAAGGATCTCTAGATTGAATTTCAGGCCAAATCAGATAGACAGTTGCAGATTCATGTAAATTACAGTGTCAAGCTTCTCCAACTGACTGAAGCAAATTCATCCTGACTTATATGGTAGAAAACAAGGGAGATTGATTATAAGATTCTGGTAGCATTACCTCATGATCAAGTAACACGTTCTCCGGCTTTATATCCCTGTGAATCACATGCTTCTCATGGCAATACGCCAGTTGCCNCATCCTGACTTATATGGTAGAAAACAAGGGAGATTGATTATAAGATTCTGGTAGCATCACCTCATGATCAAGTAACACGTTCTCCGGCTTTATATCCCTGTGAATCACATGCTTCTCATGGCAATACGCCAGTTGCCTGTGGAAGAATCGCAAACTAAAAATTTACACAATAAAACCAAAACATCAGAACCCAAAACCACAACTACCGAAAGAAACTAAAACATGAACAAAATTCAAGATCAAACTACAAATATCACTCTAAATCAAAAGAACAGAACAACTAAACCCAAAATAAAAAGCAAAGCATANCGGCTTTATATCCCTGTGAATCACATGCTTCTCATGGCAATACGCCAGTTGCTTGTGGAAGAATCGCAAACTAAAAATTTACACAATAAAACCAAAACATCAGAACCCAAAACCACAACTACCGAAAGAAACTAAAACATGAACAAAATTCAAGATCAAACTGCAAATATCACTCTAAATCAAAAGAACAGAACAACTAAACCCAAAATAAAAAGCCAAGCNAAATTCAAGATCAAACTACAAATATCACTCTAAATCAAAAGAACAGAACAACTAAACCCAAAATAAAAAGCAAAGCATAATAAAATCCAAGCAAAATTCCAACACAAACTGCAACATTGTTCAACTTATAAGCCTAATAATAGCCAAAATTAAACATTGGTGGTCATCATGAAACCAACGAAAAGTCTCAAAACATTGGGATGGCGAAGACTCGGTTGAATCTCCATCTCTCTCCTCAGCTGGTGGTGCAACCTGTACTTCCCTATATGCTCTTTAAATACCACTTTCAATGCCACAGTGTACTTGCTCTGCAATACAAAACCAAACTCAATTCCACAGGAATGGAAATCAAATTCCCGTCTCTCTCTCTGTACCTTGATTTCGCGGGTGAGGTACACAGCCGAATTTGCCTTTGCCCGAGGGGTTTGCCGACTTCGAAGTCTTGCAAGGACCATTGTCGTTTCGGGGGGTTTCTTTCGCTGTTGTTAAGGGGTAATATAGATATTTTACAATGAGGTTACCAAACTGTCTCCTCTCCTTTAATTGATAGTATAAATGGGATNCGAATTTGCCTTTGCCCGAGGGGTTTGCCGACTTCGAAGTCTTGCAAGGACCATTGTCGTTTCGGGGGGTTTCTTTCGCTGTTGTTATAAGGGGTAATATAGATATTTTACAATGAGGTTACCAAACTGTCTCCTCTCCTTTAATTGATAGTATAAATGGGAAGATTAATAAGACCCAATTGAACCCATAAATCAAACGATCCACATTAATTGGATGACAAAACTGATAAAAAAATTGATCAGCATAATGTTGTTGACAAATCATTAAACTTATTTTGGCAATTGCATTCATTGGAAAAAATACTAACAAAACCATAATGCATTTATTTAAATTCACATGCACACTGAATTCATCTGCACAATCTTACCTGCAAATTAAATTGATAATGTTCTGCATCATATCATACTCACATTGGGAGAAATACAAAATCTCGGAATTTACAGGGAAGACATCGGGTTGTAAGATTGAACTTTATTTCCTCTGTTTCCTCCTTTCTTGACTTCCAAATTTTGGCATTGAAATTAATTTCTTCAACCAAATAAAGCAAGCATGTTTTGGATCGTGGGAAATCTAAGTGGATGTTACAGATTTCAATTAGATCCGAAGTCCNTCTGTTTCCTCCTTTCTTGACTTCCAAATTTTGGCATTGAAATTAATTTCTTCAACCAAATAAAGCAAGCATGTTTTGGATCGTAGGAAATCTAAGTGGATGTTACAGATTTCAATTAGATCCGAAGTCTCGGTTCCACTGTTCAAGCTCTTCCCACTTGGTTTTTTGTAGACTCCGCCGAATGACAGTCATTGCCTTCTGGAAGTCTCCATATCTTAGCCGCCTTACCTGGTAAAACAGGCAACAGAGCATGAATTCGAAGGAATTATTCTTACGTTGTCAGCATGCAAAACTGATAAAATCACACNCTTCTGGAAGTCTCCATATCTTAGCCGCCTTACCTGGTAAAACAGGCAACAGAGCATAAATTCGAAGGAATTATTCTTACGTTGTCAGCGTGCAAAACTGATAAAATCACATAGACAATGTGAATGAGCCCAGAAAAATGAACTATGACTGAGCCCCATGGTGAACAGAAACTCGAGAGTTAATCCTAAAGCATTTGATGCTTGAAGAATTAATAAGAAAATCCCTTGTTCGTCAGGGTGAATCTTCCGGTGACATATGTCAATATCAAGAATAGATCTCGACATGGTTTCAGCAAACCCTGCTTCATGGCTAAATTGCTTCAAGACAGTATCATCAAGCGAAAAAAGGGGGAGAGAAGGAAGCTGAGGAAATTTGGATGCCCCATTAAAATGGAACCACATCATTGCAATGGTAATAGAAATGTTTTAACTGCCAGTTGGCATTATAATGTGTTTCCTAGAATTCGTATACCTTTGGGTAAAAAGGGAAAAATTCATTAAAGAAAAGTAAATGTATATTACAACTGGGTTCAATAACAGTAGCAAATCTACTTATCCATTTCATCGATCAAACAAACTCAGATCACTTCCCCAANGTTGGCATTATAATGTGTTTCCTAGAATTCGTATACCTTTGGGTAAAAAGGGAAAAAATTCATTAAAGAAAAGTAAATGCATATTACAACTGGGTTCAATAACAGTAGCAAATCTACTTATCCATTTCATCGATCAAACAAACTCAGATCACTTCCCCATAAATAACAATAAGATAACAGCAATCAGAAAATATAATAGGAAAAATATAAATTTCTAGCTAGACTACCTGATTTGCCTTGATAGTGAGAATGTTTGCACCAAGCTCTCTGATTGGCATCATTGCCGCTTCCTCGCACAAGGCTTGCAGGTCGCTTCCAGAATACCCTACAGGAATAACCATACAATGAGCTTCTGATTAGACAAGCACACAATCTTTTCCAGGAGTGTTGATAAAGCTCTGTTGGAAAAAATAAAGGTTTAATGAGTGGCAATCAAGGCTCATCCGAGTCACTTATGCAATGCANTCTGTTGGAAAAAATAAAGGTTTAATGAGTGGCAATCAAGGCTCATCCGAGTCACTTTGCACTCCACATGGCATCAATATATATGTTGTTTGTCTGCAACCATCTCATGCCTGGGGCATAAATATAAGACAACACATGAATAAATTTGGGCAAATAATCATTGTACCATCTGTCTCTTCAACAAGTCTCTCCAGATCTCCACCTGTTGCAACAAGAAGAAAACCACCACCATTACTTCAAAAAAATTTGCTTTGTGATTATTAATGCAGTCAAAGATGCACACCTAACCAACAATGGCCCACATATTACATTTTTTACAGCAGGATTCTGTCCAAGATTGCAACCAATGTCCAAAAGATGGCACGACAACTACTTCACNAAACCACCACCATTACTTCAAAAAAATTTGCTTTGTGATTATTAATGCAGTCAAAGACGCACACCTAACCAACAATGGCCCACATATTACATTGTTTACAGCAGGATTCTGTCCAAGATTGCAACCAATGTCCAAAAGATGGCACGACAACTACTTCATACAAAATTGGTTTTCTTATTCTTGGAGGCTGAGAGATGCTGGATTCACAGAAGAAAAGAGCTTTTCCTTTGGCAAACAGGTTAAAACACATCTGTTCATTTTCATGAGATTTAATAAGGAAATGTATAGGACTAACAATGCATTAGAGTTGAATGAGAAGGAAACCTAAACATAGGGACCTTAAAAGAAGAATGCAAGAAAAATGGGCAAAACATAGAGAACACCACCATGAAAGATGATTGGAGTCTGACTCTCACACATGATTGAAGAAGTCTAAACAACTTTANATAAGGAAATGTATAGGACTAACAATGCATTAGAGTTGAATGAGAAGGAAACCTAAACATAGGGACCTTAAAAGAAGAATGCAAGAAAAATGGGCAAAACATAGAGAACACCATGAAAGATGATTGGAGTCTGACTCTCACACATGATTGAAGAAGTCTAAACAACTTTGAATAGAGTTTAACAATGCATCAATGCATGCTTCACATTCCATGCAAAACCCAATTACTTGAAGCAACTTCAACTAGCCTGATCAAATAATGCAACCTCACCATCAATATCATAGTAAGTTTCTCAATATCATGTGGAACCCTAACTCACACATGGGGCTAACAAACAAATTGACAAACATGCATACCANATCAATGCATGCTTCACATTCCATGCAAAACCCAATTACTTGAAGCAACTTCAACTAGCCTGATCAAATAATGCAACCTCACCATCAATATCTTAGTAAGTTTCTCAATATCATGTGGAACCCTAACTACTCACACATGGGGCTAACAAACAAATTGACAAACATGCATACCCAAAAATTCAAAATAGTTAAGACTTAACCCACTAACAAACCAAGGCTCAGCTTCGATACCATGTTAGAGCATCCAACTCATAACCAATTGGCAATGAGTGGAGTATCCCTCAAGTATATAAATCAGCTTTGGGTGGTCATAATAATTCAACATGGAATACGAGATTTCCTTACTCTAAGAACATCACAAGTCTTACTGAAAGAACAAGGAGCAACAATATGGTACATCAGCTTCTTATGATATAAAGTCAGTAAGCAATAATGTGGCAGGATATGAACTTATTCTTACCAGGCAAGGAATATGCTTGGCCCTTGAGTTTGTGTTTCAGCAGAAGTCTTCTAGAGTTAGCATCTGGTAAAGGGATGTAAATTCTCTTCACCTGTTTCAGGATTTATCAGTAAACCATACCACGTGGATTATTGAAAATCAACTTGAGAGTAAAAGTACTACCTAAATTCATATTAACTGTACATTAGAGTACATGGAAAAATTGTCTCCTACAAATTAATTCACAGTATTTGCCATATGGTGCATTCCCATGCCTCATCAGAATCATAAATTTCAAACTAAACTCTCAGATCCACAATGGTAAACATCTAGGGATCATGATCATCCAAAAGAAGCTTAACTATGCATTTTCTCAGGGCAAGGAGGCTAGACTCTGCAGATTAGGGTGGTAATTCATGTTCAACCCTGCCAACTGACAATGGAAACAATTCAAGTTACAAGTATACAGGCCAGCAACCAAAAACTGGCTTTCGGTGTATGAAAGGCAGGTCCAACAGTCCAAGACAAACCCAAATGCAGCTAGTACATCTGTACATGTTAGGGCCCTCAAACCTAACCTGTACCCTAACAACCAATATGGCTCGGCAGTTCAACAGTTCTGAAAGGTATATAGTTCAGAATTTTCAGATTATTTATGAGTTGACAGCTGGGTTGAATCATAGTTTCCTTTATCCGGTCGTAATATTGGCATTGATGGTATATCACCTAAATGGCCAATACACAGCTAACTACAATAACAATAGCTTCAATTACTGTATCCTATATATCATTATCAAAATTTTCCACAAGAAATACATTGAATAAGTTCTATAGGTCATGCGTTTCGATAAATTATTGCATCAATATACTAACCAATCTCCTAAGAACTGCATCATCCAATTCTTGTGGTTTATTAGTTGCACCTGCATTAGCATAAGAATAGGTATTAAGACCAAAAAACAAGAAATCTAGATATCCAACCAAGAATCACAATGCTTCATAGTGACATCTTGAAAGGCTACAGGAAGGTCTTTTCCTCCAGTTGTCGCTGGAAATTTGTAGGGAAGTACAGGTCCCTTAGACTCTGCTATTGAAAGNTTATTAGTTGCACCTGCATTAGCATAAGAATAGGTATTAAGACCAAAAAACAAGAAATCTAGATATCCAACCAAGAATCACAATGCTTCATAGTGACATCTTGAAAGGCTACAGGAAGGTCTCTTCCTCCAGTTGTCGCTGGAAATTTGTAGGGAAGTACAGGTCCCTTAGACTCTGCTATTGAAAACATCTTCCATATCATAGTCCCATATAGGCAAAAACACAAGAAACCAAAAACATCAAAATAAGAATAGCCTCTCCCCAAAAAACACAAATCTACCTACAACTATCCCCATGGGACCATGTCAAGGCCTAACTCTGCTTGTCCATGTCAATGTAGAGATACAAAGGTGTTCATTAATCAAAAGTGATTGAAAAGAAAAAAAACAAAGAGAATGAACAGTGCTTTAGAGCCCAAGAATAGGTAAAATCGATGCTCATTTTCCTGTTCTTTCCTTCCTTCATTTTTTTTCCTCATTGTCCACTTGCACGCAAGAAACGTGTAAGTTTCAAAAAGCCACAAATTGTATTCCAGATACTTTTGGAGGTATTAGGACAAGAAAGTGGCAGTTAATTAGCCATTCAAATTTAGCGTCAGTTTAAAACCTTGGCCTGATGACAAATCAGAAGGGACCGAACAATAAAAAGACAAATAGTCAGCTAGAAAAAAACAAAGGAGAGAATAAATCGAAAGTATGATATTATTAATGGTAAAGATTTTGACTTTACAGGGCCCATCATTGGGTAAAACCCCAATCCTAGATCCATGCTACTCAAAGCTGTATAGTTTTGAAGTGTTAGCCGTGTCATCTTGGATCAAACACTGGTTGGCTAATAGTATTCAAAAATATTTGGGCATAATCAAGATAGAAGAGTTCTAAATTTTTCAGTTACAAACAACGATATTGCCACATTAAAACCCACCCACTTCCATATCCACGTCCCAGGAAGGGAAGAAAGGGGGATGTCCCTGCCTTCACGAGACTTGGTGCTTTTAACTAACAAAGAAGCAAGCCAAAAAATTGCCTAAGTGGAGGAACCAGAGTGCAAATAGCACTTCTCTTTTCCCTTCTATTTCTACTTTCACCTCATTTACTTCCTTTTCAAGCTTTTCCCTAATATTCAAATGAAAGAAGCAGAAGGAGGGCATGTGATTTGAGACAGCTGCTACAGAGCAGCAATATTGCAAGAAAGGATTCATCAGCTGACCAACAATAGTTGGACCGAGGCTTTTCTTCTGATAGAATATAGTTAAATGAAGACTCAGTGTAATAAGGCCTAAAACTTACCGATGACGGTCACCATATCATCAGAATTTGACGTCACTCCATCAAACTGGACTAAAAACTCTGATTTCAATCTTCTGCTTGCATCATGCTCATCAGATTTCCTCGTGGACATAATACTATCAATCTGTCAACCAAAAGAGATCAACAGTGAAGAAAAAGGAGGACACAATGTATTAATAGTAAAACTCTCATAAGAGTGAAAAGTGGATAGTAAAGATATCAGCAAAGGCAGTGCACTGATGTCAGCAAAAGCACATAGAATAAATAAACAACAAAAAGTCAGACAACAAATACCGAAACCAAGTGATAAGGTCAAGAAATGATAATGGTGATGCTGCTGGTAGCTTGAACACTAAAGGAAACCAAATGTAAGATTAAGAAGGTTTTCCTTAACAGTGACACACTAGCATATGATTTAATTGAAAAGACTGTAACCAAAAAGTAGGCTGTTAAGGTGCAATGTTCAAGCGAAAGTATCGTCATGTGTTGCTGCACAATTGTAGAAGCAGGTGGGAGACCAGCTAAGATATATCAGTACTCCCACTTTCGTTGGTGATTTTCATGAGTATCAGATTGATTGAGAGATTTCCAAGTACCAGACATAAACACAATAAAATTGCTGCACATAACAGTTGCTGCCACCAATAATAAATAGGCCTCAGCCGAAACTCTCAGACAAATATTAGCAAATTAAATTACTTCTCCAAATCCTTCGTAAATAGCTAAGGAGAGGTCATCTAGATAAGAGTAGGACACATTGGAAAAGATAACAGATTGGCTAGGTTATTAAATCTGGTTTTGAATTAAGCATGTGCAAACCAGAAACAGAGAATTGATTATTAACCTATGATTGGTTACCATTCTCAATAAAATTAAGGGGAGAAAAAGAATAGAAATTTTTAGAAAAAAAGAAATCTGAGTAGAAACATATTTTTTTATTTTAGGGG